CGACTACCAACTGCGCCTGCGACTACGAGTACGACTACGACGACTACGAACACTACTACTACTACTACTACTACTACTACTACTACTACTAGTACTAGTACTAGTACTAGTACTAGTACTAGTACTAGTATTACTACTACTACTACGACTGCTACTACGACTACTGATACTACGACTCGGACTACTACGACTACTACTACGACTACTACTACGACTACTACTACTACTACTACTACTACGACTAGTAAAACTACTACTACTACCACTACTACAACTACAACAACTACTACTACTACTACTACTACTACTACTAGTACGACGACTACTACTACTACTACTACTACTACTACGACGACTACTACTACTACAACTACTACGATTACAAATTGCACTTCTACGACGACAGCGAGTACGAGTACGAGTACGAGCACGAGTACTACGACTACGACTACGACTACGACTACTACAACTATTACTACGACAACTACTAAAACAACTACTATAACAACTACTGATACGACAAACTACTCGTACTTCTACTGCTACTACTACCACTACTACGACTACTACTGCTACTTCTCATTTTTTCTACGAACAGGTCGTCTACAACTGCAACTACGGCAACTGCTACTTCTAAGACTTCTACTATTACTACGAAATAAAACGCTACTACTACTACTACAATTACGACTACTCCTACTACTACTACTCCTACTCCTACAATGTTACTGCTACTGCTACTGCTACTGCTACTACCACTACTACTACTACTACTACTACTAGAAGGACTACTACTACATCTTCGACCAGTACAACTGCTGCGGTTGGAACTACAACTAGCACTGCTACCACATATTGTAGTTATACTAGCGCTACTACCACATATACGACGACTACCACTACTACGACTACTACTACGACTACTACTACTACTACTACTATTCTTACTGCTCCTACTACTAGTCATACTACTTCTGCGAGGTCTACCACCACTACTACGACTACGACTACGACTACGACTATGACTACTACTACTACTACTACTACTACTACTACAACTACTACTAAGCTTACGACTTACTATCACTCATACTACTACTACTGCGACAACCGCGACGCCTACTACCAACACTAGTTCTACGACAAATCGTACTAGCACAAAGTTTAAAACAACTACTACTGCGAATGCTCCGAATACTACAAATACGGCCAAGACAATTACGACAACGACTACGACTTCTTCTATGACTATTGCAAGTACTACTTCTACCACTACTCCTACCACTACTACTACCACTACGACGACTACTAATACTACTAAGCTACTACCACGCATACGACTACCACTATTTCTACAGCTACAACTGCGAATACACAAAAAACTACTACCACTGCGGCTACTACTACTACTACTACTACTACTACTACTACTACTACTACTACTACTACTACTGCGACTACTACTACTACTACTACTACTACTATTACCACGGCTGCGACTACGACTACGACTACTACTTCTAGTGCGACTCCTGCTGCGACTCATACCAGTATTGCCACGACGACGACGACTACTACCACGACTACTACTACTACACTACTACTACGACTACTACCACTACAAATACTACTACTACGACGACGGCTGCTACATACTATTGCTACTACTACCACCATTACTACTACTACTACTACCACCACCACCACCACTACTACTACTACTACTACTACTACTACGACTACTACTACTACTACTACGACGACTACTACTACTACTACTACTACTACTTCTACTACTACTAACACTACAACTACTACTACTACGACCACGACGGCGACGAGTACTACTACCACTACCACGACCACGGCTACGACTACTACTACCACTAGTACTACTACGCCTACTACGGCTACGAATACGATTAATACGACTACCACCACTACGGCTACAACTACCTCCACTACTTGTGCTACTACTAGCATTACTACTACGACCACAACTACTACTACTACTACTACTACCACTACTACTACTACTACTACTACTACTGATTTACTACTACTACTACTACTACTACTACTACTACTACTACTACTACTACTACGAGTACTACGACCACCATGACTACTAGTGCGACTACCACTACGATTTACGAGCTACGACGGCAAGTACTACCACCACTACTTCTACTACTACTACTTCTACTACTACTACTACTACTACTACGACTACGGCTACTGCTACTCTCACTGCTACTGCTACTACTCCTACTGCGACACTACTACGACGACGACTCTATGGTTACGACCAATACTACTACGAATACGGCCACGTCGACTGCAACTATGGTGCTAGCTGGCACCACTACTTCTACGACCACTACCACTACCACTACCACGACCACGACTACTACTACTACTACTACTACTACTACTACTACAACTACGACTACCACTACTATTACCACTACCACTACCACTACCACTACCACTGCCACTGATACTTCTACTACTCGGTGCTACTCGTAGCAGCCGTGCTGCTACTACTGCTACTACTGCAACTACTAAAACCACTACTCTTGTCACCACGACCACTACTATTATTAGAACAGCAACAACAACAACTACTACTACTACTACTGCTACTACTACTACTACTACTACTACTACTACTGCTACTACTCTACTACGACTACGACGACGACTACAACAACTACTACTACTACTACTACGACTACTACTACGACTACTTCTACTACAAGTACTACGACTACTACTACTACTACTACTACTACTACTACTACTACTACCACTACCACTACTACTACTACTACTACTACTGCTACTACTACTACTACTACGGCTAATACTACTACTACTACTACTACTACTACTGCTACTAGTAGTTCTATGACTACTACTACTATGAGTACGACTACGACTACGACTACGACTACTACTTGTATTGGAAAACGAGTCGCTGCGTTGTGTTGTGTTGTTCCCTTCCCCCGCCCTCCCCCGGGGGAGCCAAACCCGCCTAGATCAACAACACCAACTACCACAATAACAACATCATAGACAACAATCATTCCAAGACTGTTTGCACTTATCTATGCGCGTGCCACTCAACACGTGTACCACGAATCTTCGATACCCGCAATATTCGTTTTCGATCGCATCCCTTTGGTGGTATAGCTTCCTTATCTGCAACGTGTATTGCATGCAGCCCCTACGACAAGGAAAAAGAGGACGGATGGAAGGAAGGGACAAAGGGGAGGGAGGAGGATGGAACACGACAGAAAGAGAGAGAGAGAGAGAGCAGGAGGGGGGCTAAGAGCAGAATGCGCGTGGCAGAACCAGACGGGTAGATCGGGCGGGTAGACCCTGACAGGCGGGTCGGGAAGGCGGGCCCAGGCGGCCATGTTGAGCAAGCGGGTTGCTGAAGCGTGCGTCCTGCATGAATCGCGAGTTTCGAGCGATAGCGCGATTCCTAAGTAAATCGTGAGACAGGCCAAAGCGAGAGCATGATTCTTGAGTCCCACCAGCCCTTTGGGCGTGAGTGGTTTAGAGAGCCCGCTCTGTCCTCAACCCCCCTTCTTCCCCTTCGGGGAGGGGTTTACCCCTCCCCCTATCTCCCCCCTGGGCCTGGAGAGGGACCCCCGCGGGTCGCCAGGGGGGTCAATGTCGACTCCTGGGAGGGCTAAAAAACGACGGCCCTCACGAGGATTCTGCCCCGGACGGGGACAGGGAGATAGGCCCCTCTCCTCTTCTTTGAAGCCAAAAACATTGATTTTACTAGGGTTTTGGCCCCATGTTGGCCTTCTGAGGGGGCAGCGCTCATCGTCCTTCATAGCAAAATCATTGATTTTACGAAGGTTTCGGGCTCATGTTGTCCTTCTCAGGGGGCAGCTCTCATTTGCGCTTCTGAGGAGGTCGCAAGAGGCCCCAAGATGGCCCCAAGAGGCCCCCAGGAGGCTCCCAAGAGGCCTCCAAGAGGCCCCCAAGAGGCCCCCAAGAGGCCCCCAGAGGAGGCCCCCAAGAGGCCCCCAAGAGGCCCCAAGAGGCCCCAAGGCCCCCAAGGCCCCAAGAGGCCCCCAAGAGGCCCCCCCAAGAGGCTCCAAGAGGCCCAAGAGGCCCCACGAGGAGCCCGAACGACTCACCCACGAGGAGCCCGAACGACTCACACCAGGACGGGGCCCGAACGACTCACACCACGAAGAGCCCGAACGACTCACACCAGGAGGAGGGGCCCGAACGACTCACACCAGGACGAGGCGCCCGAACGACTCACACCACGAGGAGCCCGAACGACTCACACCAGGACGAGGGCCCCGAACGACTCACACTACTACTACTTCTACCTCTACTATTACTACTTCTACGCATGGTGCAAGCGGACACACGCCTAAAAAACACGACTGTCGGCATGGTTCGCAAGAGTTGCTGTTTTGAGATGGGCTGGTGGGGATACGCGAAGCGTGAAGAATGCCGAGGGCGCGGCGTCTAAATACATCGCGAAGGAGTCACACACGAGAGCCAATTGCTGCATACATTGTGAGGATGTCCCGCGCGAGAGCGCGATGTGGGAATACACTGTGAAGAAATATCACGCGGAAACCGTTGTCATTGTAACTCGGGACGAGGGGCCCAATTCTGAGACCCAACACTTTCCCTTATAAAAAACAGGCTGCGAGCCCCGGAAAGGGCACTTCAGTTGAAAAACACAATGTGCCCTGGAGGGGAGGAATCAACAATAATCATTCTTCAGTAGTGCCAGCTCAACAACAACTGTGGACAGAGGCGGAGGAGGAGGCACCGATCGTCGCAGCTTGGGGGACGGGGATCGGGGAACAAAGCATGGCATGACCATAATCTTTTGGAGGCTCGCGCGGAGTTCGAGGATGGGCGCGTGCGGAGAGCTGCAAGAGCGGCACCGAAAGTGCCGCCAAAGGGGTCCAGCGCCGAGCCGAGAAATCCGCGCGGATCTCCGAAATGTGTGCTTACGCACCTCTTTGTTTCCCGAGGGAAGGCGTCGCCCCGGCACGGTGGCGCGCCTTGGGGAGCGACGGCGGAGGGGTCGCCTTCTCGGCGGTGCCCACGATGCCCTGGAGAGCACTCCGCTCCCCTGCCGTTCCCGACCTCCACGAGGCGCCCCCTCCCACCCCTTCTCCTCCGCCTCCCGCCCACACGCCCCCTCCCCACCCTGCTTCTCCCTCCCACACTCCCCTTCCCCCCACCACCCCCTCCTCCTCTTCCTCCTCCTCCTCCTCCGTCTTTTCCTACTCCGTCTTTTTTTACTTTGATTATTTTTTGTTTTGTTCCTCATTTCCTCCCAGCGTCCCTCATTCCCCCTTGCTCCGCACTCCTCGGCCGCCCGGTCAATACCATCCCTCATCTCTCGTAATCCTCGCACTGCTCCTCCTGCTCCTCACCATCACCACCAAAACCATCACCACAACTATCACCATCACCACAATCACCACCATGATCCTCCTCCTCCTCCTCCTCCTCCTCGTCGTCATTATCGTCATCGTCATTGTCATCATCGCCATCGTCATCACCATCACCATTGTCATCACCATCACAACCACCATTGTCATCACCATCACAATCACCATCACCATCACCATCGCCATCATCACCATCCCCATCACCATCACCATCGCAATCGTCACCATCATCATCACCATCACCATCGCCATCATCATCATCGTCATCATCGTCATCATCATCATCATTATTATCATCATCATCACATCAGCATCAGCATCAGCATCAGCATCAGCATCAGCATCAGCATCAGCATCAGCATCAGCATCATCATCATCATCATCATCATCATCATCATCATCATCATCATCATCATCATCGTCATCGTCATCGTCATTGTCATCGTCATCATCAGCATCATCATCACCATCATCACTATCGTCGTCATCATACTCATCCTCATCCTCATCCTCATCCTCAGCCTCAGCCTCACTATCACTATCACGACCACCACCACCACCACCACCACCACCATCATCATCATCATCATCATCATCATCATCATCATCATCATCATCATCATCATCATTACCAGCATCATAACTATTCTGGATCAAACTGTGCGCCGCTGGGGGCGCGCCGTGCCCTCCAGGTCGTAGTGCGCTCGCGGCTCGAGCCGAAGCCGATGATGCCGATGGCGATGGGTGCGGGGATCCGCGCCGCTGTGGAACCCTCAGTGTAGCTCAGGCCGCTGCTGGCCTGCAGCGGGGCGGTCCCGCTTGGTGACCCGCCTGCTGCGAGCGGCGGAAGACATGGCCAGCACTGGAGCGAAGCAGGCCTCGCAACCGGCGGCTGGGGGGACTGGCTCGGCAGCGGCACCGCGCTGGCGTTGCCGCGGTCGAGGCCGGTGTGCAGCGAAGGGTCATGACGTGGGAGCGGCGGTGCCTCTTGCTCTGCCAGCTGTCTGGCGAGGGTACCCCGTCCAGGCCGCGGCGGCGTCGGGCGCGGGGCGCCCTCACGCCATGGAAGGGCTGCAAGAGCACGCAACGGAAACCGATATGATCATGGAAAATGCTTCGTCGATGGCGTCGGATGGTTGGGCCGACGATGAGCCTCCCACGGCGGTTGCGCCTGCTGGTAGGGTTGCTGGGCTGGCCGCTGGTGTTCGCGTGCGTGCGGTCACTGGCCTTCGGGCCGTTTTCACTGGCGTCATCCGGAGGATCGGCGCAAAACTCTGCCACGAGCACGTCCACGCGGACGCTAAACAGGACCTCACCCTCTCGGGCCCCGCCGCGGTGGTTGCCGATGCGCCGCCAGGCCGCGCTGTGAGCAGCGGAGGCCCGAGGATGGGCAAGGGCACGGGCAAGGGCGTCGATGCGGCCATGGACACGAAGGGCCGTAAGCGGCGCGCGGGCGCGCGGAAAGCCCCGCGATCTCTCTCGCCCTCTCTATCCCCCTCTTTCCCCATCCCCTTCCCCTCCCTCCCCAGACAATGTCCGACCGTCAGGGAACAAATCATCATCGTCATCGTCATCGTCATCGTCATCATCATCATCATCATCATCATCATCATCATCATCATCATCATCATCATCATCATCAGCATCAGCATCAGCATCAGCATCATCATCATCATCATCATCATCATCATCATCATCATCATCATCATCCGCATCATAATCATCGTCATCGTTCATCATCATGATCACCACCACCACCACCATCATCATCAGCATCATCATCATCGCCATCACCATCATCATCATCATCATCGTCATCATCATCACTACAACCATCATCATCATCACCATAAACATCACCATCACCATCAACATCATCATCGCCCTCATGATCATCACCATCACTATCATCAGAATCATCACCATCATCATCATCATCATCATCATCATCATCATCATCATCATCATAACCATCAGCATAATCACCATGAGGATCACCACCACCATCACCATCAACATCGTCATCACCATCATCAACATCACCACCGTTGCTTCTCCATCTTTCTCGTCCTCATCGTAATCCGCCACCGTGCCCCCTGGCAAGCACGTTGAGGCATGGTGGGATTCCAAACGCTATCGGGCAGGTCGTGGGTACGTTTGCCAAAGGCCACGCACCCACTTGCAAGCCCCTCCCCCTCCCGAGGCTTTTTGGGCGGCCCGACGTTTCCCTGGGATCCTCCCAAACTTCCGCTACCGTCCAGAAAGGCCACCAAGGACGGCAAAATGGCCCAGCAATGCCTCAAGATCACGAGTTACTGCCGCTGCCTCGAATCGAAACGGCTTCGGTAAGACAGTCCATACAACCAGAGATGCAAGCAACGAGGCATGAGATTTGCCAAGTCCCTCGGGTTAGGGAGGCACCACGTCAGCGTCTGCCAAACCCGCTCAAATGTGAGCTCGTACGCTTCAGGTCGGAAGCGCCGCCGCCACATGCACACGACTGCCCGCCGAGGCGGGCCTGGAGCGGAGCTACCCGCATCCCAGCGCCCGTAGCCGACGATTCCCTCCTGCACCCATGGCGTCGTGACGGCGGGTCGCCGGCTCAAGCAGTCGCCGTCGTATCCGTGGCGGCCCGCAGCGCCAGCTTCGATCTCCCGCTGGCCAGCGCGCAGGTCGCCCTGCGCAAGCATTCCTGCATCTCCCGTGCTACCAAATGCTTGGTCCCGCTGGATTTTCGCTCCCTTGCACCTTCTCGATGACCAGCTTCCGCTTGGCCACGGCCTCCTGCACCCAAAGGTTCCGGGCGTGGAGGTGCCTCACCTTCCCAACCCCACGTCGGGAAGCATTGCTGACCTTGCTCGCAGTGGCGCCCACGCGCGCGAGCGGCTTCAGGACCTTGAAAAAAGTCAGCCGCCATGGCAACAGTGCCAATGACACGGCTCGCACTCTTGGTCAAAGCGTAGAAAACCGCCTCCCCGGAGCTCGTGGCCACGACGTTCTGCGTCGTGCTATTGGCCACGATCAGGCGCTGCCCAAAAATGGTGCAAGACGATGAAATTGAACGCCGGGTCTTCCGGCACCCAGCCGAGTGGTTGTCGCTGAACACGTCCGCGACCGCCTGGTCAGCCTGCCGCCGGCGCACCGCCAGGCAGCGAGGCGCACCCTTCAGAAAGCGCCCCAAACGATTGAGCACCTCCATGTCCTGCTGGCGCGGCACTTGCACGCGTCGCGCGAGCTCCTTGCGCGCGAACTGCAGCTCGCAGCGAGCTTGCGAGAGGTTACTCGCACGAATGGCCCAGGATCGGTAAACAGACTTACCCTCTACATCGCACTCCCGTCCGTCATCGTCGTCGTCGCCGCCGGTCGGCTTGACGCCCGGCATCGCAACGGCCTTCGCGCGCTCCCCATCTAGGCTCAGCTGCTGCGCCAAGATCTCGGCGCGCCGCGGGTCGGCTTTCAGCTCGATCCACTCGCCGCCCTCCGAGCCGAGGGGGGGCCACCGCATGGGCCTGTTGAGGCATGTGGCCTCGCCCGCGTCGCCGTGCTCCGGGCTCGGACCCTGCGTGGCCGAGTGCTTCACCAGGAGGTGCTTCCCGAACTCGTCGTGGAACTCCGCGCAGTGCAACCTCTTGCAACTGAAGGAAAATCGCTGCCCCATCGCGCACTCCGCACCACGGAGTTGCCAGACCTACGAAATCCAAAGCCCACGCTGAACATCCCCAAGGTCGCGGTCATGAGGTTCATGGTGGGCGGCGCCTGCGCCCCTCAAGCCGCGCATGCCTTGAGCAGACGTAGATCTGGCCATCGATCCTCGCGAAAACCACCAAGTCGAGAGGGGGGTGGGGGCGCGCCCGACATGAGCAACATCAACACCTCCCCATCGTTTGGGTTCTCGGGCCTCGAGCCTCGAGCCCGTCATAGGCAGGCTGAGCTGCAACCGCAATTTTTCGCACGGTGGCGTCGCAGCAAAAGTCGCCGCCCAGTCGCCCGCGTCTACAGTCGTCCGCCCGCGCGTTTCCTGCAGTAGTTCGGACGAGCAAGGTCGAGGCGAGGCGAGGCGAGGCGCCAGTCAGTCGTCCCGGCGGGGACGGCCCCACGAAAGCCCGGCGGCGGCGCCGGAGCGCCGAGAAAGAACATCAGTCAAGGGGGAAAGAGGGAAGAAGGACTCAGACCGTGAAATGGGAGTTTCGCACACAATTCCCACAATTGACACAAGCCAGAAATTCCGGCTCCAACGCCGACCGTGCTTTCTTGTCCGCCGACAGTGCTTCCTTGGCCGATGTCAACCCAATCCGTGTTAATTGGAGGTCGACCAGTCTCCTGCATGCACGTCTCAAGGTCGCTCGGCTCCAAAGCCTCCAACTCGTCCATGTGCCTCATGTCGTCCGCCCTTGCGCTTCGCGTGCGCTCAGAATCGACTGGGGGCCCCGCGCGCCGGTCGTGGAATACCTTTTCCCCCGTCGTGGCCGGCCTCGCCAAGAGCTCTGGTCCCTCCAGGACAGACCCGGCGTCCGCCGCAAAGATCGTCAGCTCCCGATCGTTGCGAGCATCCCCTCTGCCCTGCCGCCTCCATCAGCGCGCGTCGAGCTCCTCGAAGCTCGAAGGATTTCCGCCGCCAGGACGGGCGTATACTTCTCGCGCGTTTTCGCCCGACC